AGCATACGCTCTCTACACCCACATAAAAAACATATAGGTATGTTATGTAGGGTTACTCCGCCTGGTAAGGCCTCCACGCACTTGCTGCAGATCAACCGATTCCAGTGCACCCTTGACTAATGCACAAAAGCAGCCACACTAACCCTATAGCGGAAGGGGCAGCGGTGCAAACCGAGCTATGGTGGCTGCGTTCACAAGCTGCTGGTGTTGAGCTCAAAATTATAAGCAAAATTTAATTGCTTTTGACAAATTTTGACAAAACTCGCATATCTTTGGTAGATTTGCATTGCAACAAGCCTACACATTTGCATCGCCACCGCCTGAAAGTATATCAGGATGTAGGGGAACCGCGCTCATAAGCGATGCACAATAATGCAGGCTGCCATACAAATTTACATATTGCATATATGGTACATATATATATGGTATATATTTGATGACCGCGTTATATAAGAGTGTCAAGCCTAGGCTAGGCTATGTTCCAAGGAAATAGGATTCAGACTCAGAGAGAACAGAGGTTTTATAGAAAGAGCTACATCATTAGGGGCTGAATATAGTATATGAAATTAGAGTAAGCAAGTGAGAATTGTTTACTATATTTGTGTTTTGTAACTATAATCTTAGTAATTATAATAAAAGTTCCAAGTAAGACAAAAAATATATAAAAATAATAACCCCACCTATACTAGCGTTGTAACTTGAAACTTCATACGGGCAAATTATACTAACCATTCCCCTCTAAACTCTAAAATAGCTGCTCCTTTCACTAACTGGATACTTTCAAAAATGGTAAATTTTTAAAATCAGAATAACTTATATTGTTAGGTCATAATAATGTCAGCATATTTTCTCTAAGAGTTGTGAGTAAACTACAAAAAGAAATCGACAGCAAGTTGCTTTGTATTTTCGTTAAAATCATCGAAAATAATGGCGAATTATTTTCTTTAAATTTTTTAATAAATTTTTTATGTTTTTGCGAATATAATTCCGTTAACACATTTTGAAATTAATGAAGTAGTCTGGAGCTGTATTCAAACATTATCTAATATCCAAAACCTATTGGCATCCATGAATAAAATGTTTACATCCACGACCATCCATAATATTCCAACATAGACTTGTCGTTTGATAAATTGTGCTCTGCTTAAAATATTTAAAAAACTTTAGCTTAGAACATTAGTACGTAGGTGGTGGCAATTTCCAGATTCTGTCATCAGCTGAGTAATAGTCAGCATCAGCGAAATGAAAGTAGCGAAATATTATTTCGAACCTAACACGTCTTATTATTCCTGACCAGGATTGCGAATTTTTTAATTCAATAGCTTTGGATGGAAAATAAATTTGTTTTTAAACCCGATGTTATGATGAAAAATTTGATTTGATTTTTTCGTCCGATATAAGGATAAAAAATTAGATTTTCGTTTTGATTAAAAATGAACGATGTTGTGATTAAAAATAAAATTTTAAAAAATCTCGATGTTGGGATGAAAAATTAAAATCTAATTTGGATTAATAAATTAAAACTAAAAATTTTATTTTAAAATATTTAATTTGAATGAAGAACGCAAACGCGAAAAAGTTTTAATTTTAAAACAATTTTTTAATTCCTAAGTACAATATATCTTGAGGTTAAAATTTTTCTTTTTTATTTTTTAATCCGTTATTTGGGACCATATTTTTGTTTGTTTTTATTTTGATTACAAATCAAAAAAAATATTGTAACTCAAATTTTAATTTAATACTTTTTTTAATGCGTTATTTGCAACCCTGCTTCTGACATAATACAATAATAAACATTTGTGGTTTGACAAGTAATCTCTTTTGGTCGGTCGAGATTTTTAATTCAGTTATGGTCAAATAAGTACTGAAACATTTTTTAAAATATTGATGTGGTTGTGGTCGCACGAGGGACGTTTAATTTGGATATATGGTAAGTGCTCTTTTCCTACCTCATACTTTCGACTTTCGGGATGTTGTGGCAGTATATAATAACTTTTTTACTGAAGTATTTTACGCTGACTGTCAGAACTACATTCTCTATTGATGTTGATTTTTTTCGATGCCTTGATTACTATCCATTGTAGTTGAGGGTGTGGATTTTGAATTAAGGATTATATCACATATGGACATTATTTGCTTTCGCGGCAAATCTTATAATTCTCCATCTTGTACTTCATCAGCTGAGTCATGCCCGGAATTGGTGGTTCACAAAATAGTTTCCTTACTATTTGAATCTATCGTTTCTATAAATTAAATTGCATCTTCTATAGATATAAAAACTTTTAACAAAGCAAACGGTGATGCATAAAAAATTTAATTCGTCTGATCTACAAACTTCATACTGCAATTAAATGACGACGACATTTTTGGTTAAGAGTAGTCAGAGTTTACAAAAGATTTTTTGTATTTTCTTAAAGTACAATAACTTGGCAATATTCTTTGAAAATTTTAAATCCAACAAATACTTTCGAGTTATTCGATAATAAACAAAGGGTTCTGTGGCGCTCTGGAACATTCATGTGGAACTAAATGTACGTTTTGCTCAAAACTTTAGTTTAAAACTGTTGACCACTGTAGCGCAAAAAACGCTCGGTAGATTTCAATGAAATTTATAATGCTTTTTGAAAACATGAGAAACTAGTGGCTGATTTCTTTTATTTCGATTTTGATAAAGAATTAATTGTTTATTAAATTATTGCTTATTACCGAAAATATGTAAAATATTGACTTGAGGGCGCTACTTTGTTAATTAAACAATAAAAACTTATAATGATTCTATCAGGCATTTGATTATCTATAATTTTTTTCCCAATTGATTTCAGCCGAATCTCCAAAGTTTAGTCATGTGTATGCTCCACAAGGAGCTTCGTTTGGAACAGGAATAACACAAACATCCATTAGCTTTAAATTTTTTTGTGACTAAAAAGTCAAGTCTAGTCGTAACCTTATTTAATATTGCTTTTACTTTAATAAAATAAAATAATTTACTGGTAAAAAAAAAATTATTTAAAATTGCAAGTTTTTCATGTCATTGACTGCACTTAACCTCGTAATGCTGAAACAGCAGAATTACTTTAAACATTTCATAATTGTGTATATATTTTCGGTGTATACCGTTAGTGCTTAAGCGTTTCGTTAAATTTTATAAATGGTTGCATAGAAATAAAATCAAATTGCAAGATAATTCATAAATTAATGTGTATGTTACGCACATGTTTTTGTTGTTTTGCAAGTGATTGGCAATATGATTAAATTTTGCAAAAAACCATTACATAAATACGCATTTATTTATATTTAGACAGAAGGTGTTATTGCAAAGGTGTTGTTGAAAAATATTTCCTGCATTACAGGACAATATTATTGAACGAAGTATGAATATATGTATATGAATTCATATTGAAAAGAAATAACACAAAACCATTTTCAATATTTTTATGCAATTTATTTAGGTCTTTATTATGTCAGGTTTTATTTGCCAGTTTTTTAAATTAAATGTAAATATTTATACAATTCATTTTCCGCTTACTTAAATCGATAGTATTCATAAATATTTTGAGAAATGAATAAAAAAGTACACAAACAAAGCTTATAGACATATATGTATGCATTTATGTATATATATACACATATTTAACAAATAAATCAGAGAATTAACGGTTTCTGCTGTACATACTACCAGTACATACATACACTACTTAATATTAAGCATAAATATATATTTATTTTTATTTATATTATATATATTTATTTACCATATATTTATTTATATTTATATATACTCGCAAATATATTTGTATTATAATATTAAACTAATACTATTGCAGATCACAAATACACATGCACTGATTTCATTTGTATGTATTAGTTTTGATTCTCACTTAATTAAGTATTTCTGTACAAAGTATGTATTTTACTGAAGCTTCTATCGAATTTCACATCAATTCGTTTTTGGTATCTGCTTATGTTTTAACCTGCTGACAAACATAATTTTAGTCTTCTTTACCTTCTATTTCATTATAATGTGAGTACACAATTTGTTAACGTAAATAGTTTAGCTAATAAAATCTGAAATAAATATTTAATCAATTAGTATTTAATTGAAAACCAATTAATTCGTTCAATAAAATGAGGAAAGCGTATCTTTCATGAAATATAGAAAACACACGACAGACAATATAAATGTCGTTTAGTTTAAAACGAGAAATTTTTGAAATAAAAGTGCTAGATAATTTTAACAGCGTACGTCAAGGCAGTGAAATGCATCGAAACAGCGGAAAAATTCAACACTGAACTAGGTAAGTAGTTGGGAGTGCAGCTTCACCGAGCTCAATTAGCGCTAGATGCGCTATTTTGGTGCACTAACGTCAGATTTTTAAGTTCTTTTAATCTTGTTTCATCTTCGCCTTCAAAACAATTCGTGCTCTCAATGAAACTACTTATTCGTTATAAATTTTGTAGATGACCATTCAAGGTTTGCTACCACATATATTCCAACTGTTCTATGGCGGGCTTGTGATGGAGCTGCGTATTCACAGCGGTAGTGGAAATTGTTCCTTTATTCTCTGCTAGTTTCCACAATAACCCATTTTTAGCTTGGCTTTGATTATAGATTGAAATCTGTTCTTAGCTGTTTTTTCGAATTGTGTATTGAGCTGTCACTTGATGGTTTCTAGCGAACAATGTATAAATTGTGCCTTGGATTCGTTTAGAGGCGCTCCTGTCTTAGCCAACTCGTCTGCTTTTTCGTTGCCGAAAACCGTGATATCGGTTTATACCCCTTTGAAAATTGTAAGTATATAGTATATGTAATATATCAATACTCTTGTTCTACGTATTAGGATACAATAGTGCATATGTATATATAAATACGCTGAGGCCTATTTTTTGATCTTCAGTTGGGTCACAATTCTAAGACTAAAGACCAAACAGTCAGCAGAACAAAGTTTAACAAAGCGCTGTAATCGAATTGGAACCGATTAATGTGACGAAAAGACCACTGCTTTTTTGGATTACTTATTTGCACTAACTAACTAATCAGAAAGAAATTTTTTGGTGTTTTACCTGGAAGTGTGTATACAGACCAAAACATTTCTTTCATCCTTCATTTCGACTTGGTGAGTGCCGAATCGAACAAGTAATTGACAAAAATCCCATAGAGATAGAATAGTAAGAGTGAGATACGAATATATGTATATACTCTTTTGTATTGTATTCAACTCTATAGCTTTGTTATTGCTTTCGCATGCACATTTTTTTACAAGAGAGCCGAGCTGAGTGATTACGAACGTAACAGCCTTATATCAAATGGACTCACGTTGTGATGCAAATATAATATGTACAGTTAGAATCGAAAGACTACTCTCTACGTAGACTATATAAATTTACTGGTGCTTTTGACAAAATTGCACTTATCAGATCAATATCTTACAAACTGAGGGACTAGTTCGCATTTTTACAGACACACGGATAGACGGATAGACGGACATGGCTAAATTGACTCACGCTGTTCATTTGTATGCATACATACATATTCTGGGCATTAAAAAGTACGTGATAAATTTAAAACAAAAAGTTCAGTGTATATGTAAATTTGTTAAATCTAAAATAAATATAAATTCGACTTTTTTCCTAATTTTTTTTTCGGAAATTTGGGCGTATTTTCATTTTAATTATTTTTAATATTTTCAGTCAAAGTATAAAAAAGAAACTAAAATTTTTTGAAAATTCTGAAAATTTATTTTTACTCAAAAACTATATGAATACCTAATTGAATGCATTTATAGCTAACGTTTATATGTACAAACGACAGTTCGCAGATTGCATATAGAAATTTTTAGAACAGAAAAAGAAAATTTATTTTTATTATAATTTGGGTATTATGTATATACAAGTACAATATTTTTTGTTTTTATTTACAATTACTTTTGATATTTTTTACATTAAAGTTAAGTATGATTTTTACATTCTCGAATATTAATCCTTAGTAAATGCTTTATAAGCTGTACATTAAAAACTATATATTTTTTGTATTCTTTACCATTTATACATAAATTAACTTCTGTTTTGCTCAGTTACTTATGACATAAATATTTATAATATTTGTTTTGCAACATATACCCATATATATTATAATAGTTTCCACTTAAATACGCCGATGTGCTTTCACTTCAGGCTGTCTGCTTCAGTAAATTTATTTTATTTTATATTTGTGTAAATTCGCATACACTTCTCGTAACGTATTAATATGTAAAATCTAAATATTTGTATATATATGCATATACCTATTTATAAATGTAATATATATATATATATATATATTAGTTGTCAGCTAAATGCAAATTTGATTAACAGCTTTCATTATATTGCAGCAAACATACATACATACAAACATAGTTTACTCCCCCGCTTTAGCCATATTCGTAAGTGTGTATGTGTCTATTTGATATAGTAATTACTTCAATTGTATATTTTTTTCTATGCCATTAACATTACAACGAGGCGCAAAAACCAGCAGCAATCATATGTCTTCTAATATTTCCATTATTTCTTGTTTTTGTGTTTTTTTTTTGTTTTTTTTTTTTTTTTTTTGTTATAATTTTCCTAATACCAAATTTCTAACATTCTTAACAATTTTTAGTTTTTTTCATATATTTTTTATAATAATTTTTGTTTTTAAAACTATTATTTTTTTTAACGTAAAAGTAATCTCTTCAGCTTTACATTTATATTATTTGTTCTCATTTTATTTCGTCGACTATAAATGCGCTTATGTTATTGTATTTTGGTTTGGTAAAATTCTTTCATTGGTGCTTCAACTGTTTGTATGGTTCGTAATTAGTTTTGTCTTTGATGAATTGGGAAATGTTGGGATTTGCGTTGAGTACCGAAATCAGACAAAGTTTTATTTTAGAACCCGTTTGTAAAAGAGAACTGATTGTGCAGTGACATTAATAAACGTTATTATTTTATAATAATAGGAAATATAAATTTAAATTTTTTTTAAATAAAAACCTTTTGACTTTTTGCTTGTTATATAAACCCCATAAGTGCGGCTTTAGTAGTGAGAGCTTTCGGTAGTAACGAGCCAACCAGAGCCTTTAAGCTTGCAAATTCGGATTTTAACTTTGCACACTAAAGCAATTTTCGAGAAATTATGTTTGGTATTTATGATGTGCTCGATATGTGTGATGAACTCGTGAAAAATAAATAGTCGTTAACTCGCTGGACGAACCAATATAAATTTTTGGTTTTTTCAATATGCAGTTTTATTTTGAAACTCTATTTTATTAAAACTACAATAACTTAATTTGTTGACAGAAAGTAATGATACGTTATCAGGCAACGACTGCTAAATTCTTCTACAATTTTTGACGAACCATTCAATATGAGTATTTTCTCTATACCTGCACAGCTTTCGAAGTGTTAATATACTCCGTATAAATTACTAGAATAGCAAGTTATCACACCTTTCAGTAAATAGAGGAAATGAATGTATGATGAGAGCGATGAAAAAGATTTCACATGAAATACAATCGTTTGCAGTTAAGCTATGCTTTAAGATTTGACTCTTTACAAATTTTGAATTTGACCAAAAGTAAATTAAACTTTGCTTTCTTTACAAAAATTTCAAGACTCCAGTTTCACAAAACTATATTTTCACCTTTGCGCGCTCAATTTCAGCTCTATAGTCACTTAAAACTTTAAATGCGTTTTTCTCTAAACTGTGTTTTCAAAGTCGGTCAAGATTTCTCGCGAACTACTCAACTCAAGATATCCTTTACAAGGTCTTGAATTCAATTACAATTATCTTCTTTCATTTATAATCGTTTTAAACAACAAAAAAAACTTCGAGAAATGTTCTTCATTAGTTTTTTCTCCGCCTAATACCAAGCTAATGGTCTTAGTTCGAACACGTATTTTTTCACTTTACTTTTGATGATCCCGAGGGATTGCCGGATATGACGCCGTAATGACCGAGTTTTAAATATTTTCCTTTGAAAACTTTACAAAATTTTTATCAACTATGTATCTTCGGAATAATAAAAAGTTTGAATAAAATATTTAATTTTTTATATGAAAACAAAAATGATTGAAAATAGGGCGTTTTTTGCTAGACGAAACCCCTTAACCCCTTAAGAAGAAGATATAAAAAAGTATTAAGTTCTGCTATCAATTGCGTCAATATTGTATACGAATATCTCTCCGCATAAGGGGTAAAATACCTAGCTAGGGCTTATCCTCAATAGAAAGTTTTCTTGAATGCCAAACATTGAGGAGAGAGCTAAGAAGGCATCGGTCGCCTTACATTGCTGTAGGAGAGCTATAGGGAAAAGGTGGGGACTGTCACCAAAGATGGTGTTCTGGCTACACTGGCTAAAAAGCTTGAGCGGGTCCAAAGAGCGGCGCTCATCGAAATTTCCGGTGCATTGCTGACCACACCAAGGATAGCTCTTAATGCTATTCTTAACATATACAGCACCTGTGAACATTGCCGGCAGGTGCATTGCTGCAAAGTGTGCTCTAAGGCTCAGGGAAGCTGGGTTATGAAGAGGTCCGAACAAGGATACGCCGAAATTCTCTCCTCCTTCAGCTGTAATTGCAAAATTTGGATCACTACTTCATAGCAGCCACTCGAGGCGCCTTGTTCTCTGCTCATATTCCGACGAGGGAGATGTGGATGGGAAGAAACCGCTGGATAAGAGGCGCGGTGAGATTTTTCACGGATGGGTCGAAGTTAGAAGTGAAAGTTGGAGAGGGGGTTTTCTCTAAAGAGCTTTCCGTCAATCTTAGCTTTAGGCTACCGGACCACTGTAGCGTTTTTCAGGCGGAAGTGGCTTGCTATCAAGGTGGCGGTAGAAGTACTGCTACGAAGTGTAGCCTCGTTTAGAGAGGTGAGCATTTACTCCGACAGCAGATCGGCAATACTAGCTCTGAGTACGCGAACCGTGCAAACAAAGCTAGTCAAGGAGTGTCTGTCCTCACTAGAAATAGCATCTGGCTACTTCAACATCAGGCTCGTTTGGGTGCCTGGTCACAGTGGAATCGCTGGCAATTACAAAGCCGATGAGCTAGCCAGGGGGTCACCCTTGCCCCGCTCACATCGGAATGGGATCGAGTTGGATATCAACTAACGTCTTGCGTTTTGGCTCTAGACCAATGAACCTCGCATGTACTCAGCAAAATCTGGTCGACAAGCGACTCCTGTGCGACTGCGAGATCCTTCTGGCCGAGAGTGGATCGCAGAAGATCGGGGGAACTTCTCGCCATGAACAAAGTTCATCTCGCCGCTATGGTAGGAGTTCTTACTGGGCACTGTCCAATGGGAACTCATGCGGTACGGCTTAGAATACTACTCGATGCTAGTTGTCAAAGTTGTATGGAAGAGGGTGAGATGGAAACATCCCGGCACTTTCTCCTCCACTGTCCGGCTTTTGCTAGGCTGAGATTGAAACAGCACAAAGCGCTTTGTCGACATGTAAGGGTCTTTTGATCCAGATTATAGCAGTTTTAGGTACCACAACGGGCCGGCGTTTAAGCTGCCTCCTTAGGATCGACCTTCAAACCTAACCTAATCTCACCCATATCTCCGCAATAAGTTTTAACTGGTGGGAGAAGAAAAGATAATTATGGTACTAGCATATATTTAATATGGTAATCTATCGCTAGTTAAGGTTTCACGAAGTCAGATGAACTTTACCTTTTTCATTCATACTAGAGGAAGATTCTATAGAATTCCAGCTTTAACGAAATACGCTCTGAACCAGCGATGCATATTCTTAAACTGAAAAAGGGTGGCTCCAGTAGAGCGTACTGGGTGGCTCCAGTAGAGCGTACTGCTAGGACAGTTGAGTGCCTCTCCACATGTATACACTTTCAAAAAAGAAATCGTTTGAATGTGTAAGTTTGCCCATTACTGCTCTAAAGCCTTAAAAATTAAATATTTTGGAAAACCAATATGAATATCAATTAAAAATAAACATATAAAAAGAGTGCAATTATGCTTAAAAACAAATAGGAATGAAGCAATACTTTGTTGCTTTTGATTCTTTCAGAGTGCTTATTTCTTTGAGAAAGCTGTTTTGAATTGAAAAGGCTACCCCATGAAAAGCCCAACGACTACTTGAAGTATATTTCATAGAAGTAGCATTGCGTTTTATTTTCTTTACTTGAAGCTCCTTTACACACATTTCCGCACGCGTACCACTCCCACATGTATGTTACTATTTTTTTCTCTGTGCTCAATCACGGCATCGTTTACGATATTCATTCATTAGCCATACAAAGCATAGCAATCATGAAATCAAGCAATCAAGACTACCACACACTTATAATGCTTACGCCTGCAAACCCACTCATTTCCATGTAAATCTGTGCGATTGTAGCATTCATTAAATCTCGACGAAATCAACATTTTCCAACAACAAAAACGAGTATTATACGAGTGTATTTAACTGTCGATTTGCGGAAGTCCTTACTGGAGTGTGTACCCACACATGCATAAGCGTGTGTATCGGTGTTTGTGTGTGTGTATGTAAGTGTGTGTGTGTAAGTGCAGGAATGTTAAGCAAATAGCGTATCAGTATTTTACCGATTTCTGGTACTAAAAGCATATTATGCCGGTTGTACCCGTGGCTTCGTCTTGCTATTTATTTATTGCGGCAATGAACGTTTGATCCAAGGATATGTGAGTTATGTGTGCTTAGCAATTACCGCGCTCCTCGTTGCGGTATAATTTTCCTATTATTTACATGTTCTTTTTATGCTTTTAAGCGTCTCGATTTCCTTGTTTGTTGATTTACAGTGTTCGCGACAATTTCGATTTCGCTTTCATGTTGTTGCTTTCTTATAAAGCGCATTTGGATTTCCCACTACATTAGGGTGATTTGAAAACATAAGAATTACAAATTATGTTAATAACTCAATTTTTGTTAAAGCATTAAAAACTTGATTCCGATCGTTCAGTTTGTATGACAATTATGTGCTATAGTGATCCGATATCGGCGGTACCGATTAATGAGCAGCTTTTTAGGACGAGCAGAACGTCTGAAAACTTTCAGATCGATATCTCAAAAACTAAAGGTCTAGTTCGCATATATACAGACCGACAGACAGACAGACGGACATGGCTACATCAATCTATAATCAATTCGATCATTTTAAAAGGTCTCTGACGTTTTCTTCTGGGTGTTACTAACATCGTGGTAAACTTAATATACCCTGTTCAGGGTATAATTATAACTAATTACAGAAATATTCAAATCATCGACATCCAATTATTTACATAGTACTTGAGGAAAATTACTTGCGAAACCGACTTTTATCGGGATTGGCAGTAAATCTTGTACTATGAGCTCCTCCCCCTACGGCCAAAGTCTTAATTGGGATCTTTGTTGTCAACAATTGGACCGTTTGAAGTAAGCAATGGCACAGAAGTGCCAGCTTTGGGCAACAGAAGTGGAAACGTTCCATCATCTATCAGGACAGCGCCAGGCCACACACATCCATAGTGGCTCGCCAGAATCTCCGGGAGTTTGATTGGAATGCATCCACCTTCTAGTTGGTACGTGGCAACGACAGATTAATACCTGTTTTTGTCTATGGCGAATGCTTTTGCGCTTCACTGTAAGCTACGAAAATTATCTTTCGCAGTTTTTTGGAAATGGGGACGTGCGTTTCTAAGAGATTGACTTTATGAAATTCATTTTAAAATTTTAACAAGTCATCGACCAGTACTGTGCATATTTTACATAAATCGGATAATTCCAAATATGCCAATTAAAAGCTTCAATTTAATGCCAAAATAATGGATTTCTTATTTACATAGTATGTACTATGTGAATATTCAGACCAAATGTAAGCTGACTTGTACCATTCCTTAAAGTAACTCACCGCCAGGTGCCGCAGAGTGTCAGCGCACAGTGTGGCTTCATTCCCAACTGAGGTGTGTAGTTCTTGCTTTTGATTTTCTTAGGTGTGCTGCAGTGTGTGTAAATATATATTTTGACATACGGGTATGTTGTAAGTGTACGAGTATACACAATATACATGTGTGTGTTTTTCTGTGCATATGTTTGATTATGGGCACACGTTCTGGAAATTAACTTTTTGCGACTTTTGTCTTTCTTTATGTCCTTTTGTTTTTAGTATGTACATATGTGGTAAATAACACATATATACATACATATGTACCAAATAACTGTGTAAATGTATGCTTATATGTGATTTTTTTTTCAATTCTAAATATTGTACCTATTGTGCGCCTACTCAGTTGCCATGGATGCGACATTTTGCAAATCATCAGCGCCATCAACCACAAACGCCGAACCCCACCCGCGCCTGCTTAGTTGCCGACAGCATGTAATCATTTGATTTCATCTCAATGCTGTGCCGCAACATAGCGCACGAAGGCTCGTTACCCTTACCGCTAACGCTGCTGCTGCTCTGCTCGTTGTTGTTGTTGTTGATTTTGTTACTTGTGTATTTATTGTGCTGGACACAGCCGCGGCCGGTGCCAACGCTAAGTTGCGGTTTATTGTTGGCCTCTTGCGGCTGCTTATTGTTGCTTGCCGTTGTGAGTGGGTTACTGTTGCTGTTGTTGTTTTTGTTGTTACTCCAGGTGATGATGTTGATTTCCACAGCACGCATTGTGGTTGACGCAGAAATCTTATTATGCGGACAAATGAAGTGATCTTCATGGCATTGCCGAAACTTTGGCAGCTAAACGAAAATGCTGTTGTTGTTTTAGTTGTTGGCGTGTTGTTGTTGCTGCCGGCATCGCTGCACACGGTTTTTAGGTGGCTATTTCGCACTCGCACGTCTTTTTGTTGTAATTGTTTTTGTGTATTAGCCTGACTTGCATATGTGGCTAATAAAAGTAACGGCAAATAACGCTCAAGAATATTAGCGTCGTCTGCGTATGTCAGCAGCAGCGAAACTGCCACAAACAGCAATGCGAAACTGAGCTTTGTATGTGACAGAAGAAGATTCTCGTTTATTGTGCTGTCACACGCACTGTAACGACTAGCATTAGCACAAACTTTGCCGACTGTCTTATTGCTGCGCTTACTGTTGTTGCCGACATTTGGGTTTTGCTCAGTGTCTTTATTAACGCGCTCATTCGCACTCACATAACTGTTTCCATTTGCATTTTCACTGCTGTGGTTGTTGTTGTTATTATTGTTGCATATTAGTGAGTATCGTCTGCGCTCAACACTCACTATTGCAGCAGCGTTGATGTGCTCAGCCAATTTTTGCCTATGCATTGTGAAATTTTCAACGCTATTTGCCGCCATTGTCTTGATAAAGAACAAATTCATAGCTCTTGTTGTTGCTTTCGTTGTCGTAGCTGATATTCCATTTGATATGGCGTGTAAAAATGGCGCTGTCAACGCAAGTGGCTGCAAAGTCATCGGCATATGGCTATCTAATGGCTCAAACGCGCCGCTGACTTTGTTGCGCAACTCATTACTTTTCGTGTTTTCGTATTTCATTTTAACCTCACTTTCCTCGCATGCCGCGGCTGACGCATCAATTTGCCTTATCAGCCATTGAGATGGCTGCTGTAAGCAACCGCGTTGCGTGTAAGCTAACAAACCGCAAGTGCTCCGCGCCTCCACCTCTGCCCCAACTTGTACTACTTTGTGGCACCGTGCTGCTGCTTGCTCATACGCAGTGGCGCACCGTTGAAGTGAAGAAAAATGATTTGCTGGTTGCTGCTTTAATGGTAGCCATTTAATTTGTTGTTGCTCTTGTTGTTGTGCGTGTTGTTTTCCTGTTTTGTGTGGCCTTGCCGCCAGCTGTTGTGGTTGTCTTTGCCTTTGCTCCGGCTTTGCTGCGTTCTGTTGGTGTTGTTGGTGTTGTCGTTGCCGCTTGCTTTGGCACCAACTCGATAAACGCTTGTAAATCCCAAATGATTGCATTTTAATCCAAAGAATTATACCGCCAAGTAGATTATGTTGCGCCAGTGAGTTTGCTGAATTGTGAAAAGCGCCCGGAGGATTACGCACTGGCGTTTGATTATTATCGCCCAAAGAATTGCCTGCCACGCCGTTGCCTGCGGCAGCCGGTAGTGTAGAGTTATGAAAAGAGAGAAAGAAAACGAAAAGGAGAAAGAGAAAGAGAAAAAAATTAGTTTTGTGAGTTAAGTAGTGCCTGATGTTAAATACCAAATATCGAACATGTAATAAAAATTCATATCGTTTATAAATATAATTAGTATAAATAATAGCAGGGAAGAAGTCTAGCCGGCAGCTGGACGAAAAGTTAGCACTCAATTTGGAAAGATATACAATAAACTTTAATGAATAAGAATGTAAGAATCATTCCAATTTTTTTCTGTGTCAGAGCTCTGTAGTTTTTCCTTCAAAATATCGCTTTTATTCCTTAAAACTGCATTATTCTTTAAAGAACAATTTTGCATAAACATTAATATTATGTGTATATAATTTAGAGAAATATTTGTTGTTGTTGTGTGAATAGTTAAAACTAGGTCAATATCATCCATCTGTTCTCTGCTTTGTTGTCTTTCAGAATGTCTCTCTCTCAATGTAGTTTGTACAAAAAGACTTACTCTACAAACAAACCACCCAAACAGTATCTACCAAACTTTGCGAAACCATTTCTTTTCGATTATGTTCGAAAAATGTTCGCCTAAACTAAAGATGTGGTAACTATCTGACTAAAAATCATAAGTAAATTTAATTTGCATATTTTAATGATAATAATGTGGTCTAGTACTAAAAATAGGTATCTAAAGATGATTTTCGAGCTTCCAATTGATTTTAATTGATTTTAAGGCTATAAAATATATATCGGTCAGTATAAAAGATATTTTAACAAATTTAAGTGAACGTGAACTATTACAAGATGCTGTAGGTTATTGCTGAAATTAGAAGAAATCGGTGGTTGAATTACCTCAGCACTCATACACCCCGAACAGGTATACTAAGTTTGCCACGATGTTTGTAATACTAAAAAAAAAACGTCAGAGACCCTATAAAGTATATATATAAATGATCGGGTTGACAAGCTGAGTCAATTTCGCCATATCCGTGTTGTCTGTCCGTGCTTTTGTTTGTATATACGCGAACTTGTCCATCAGTATTTGAGTTATCCCTCTGAAATTTTGCTTCCATCCTTTTTGCCACAGAGAATGTGTTCATTTTTCGAAACGACCGATTTCGGACCACTATAACATAATGCTGCTATATAAATTTAACGATCGGAATCAGATGCTTGTATGGAAAGGTTTTTATTTCACTAGATATCTTCAAGAAATTTGACATGAGTTATTGTCCTAGACAACAGTGCAATCTCTAAGGAAATTATTCGGATTGAGTCTCTATAGCATATAGCTGCCATGCAAACTGACCGATCAAGGTTTATATACTAGTTGATTCTATATACTAATGAGACTTTAAATACCGCTATTTGTGAATTATCCCGATGCCAAATCCCAGTTATGACCATTTAAATTAATTTCGACCTTCCGGTTGACTATATTTTAAATCGGTTAACATGTGTGATATTTTAAAGGAATTAAGTGAGCATGTTATCTCATGTTATGTGGCCTACAGTGGCTTAGTACTGCAACGTGGTACAAAGCTTCTGATAGAATCTTCTGCCTGATATTTACTTTTGTTCCTGGGATACAAAGAAACAAAAGTATCTTTGGCACTCGGGGACTGCCGCGGTAAAGCTATTTCATATAATTTTTTATGAACTTATGCAATTATAACTATTTATTTATTTTTTATGCAGTTTTTTTTTCTTTGATATTAATTCAAGTTATATTTTTTGTGCATGGTGATCGATAAGAAAACAAATTTTTTTCTTTTATTGAATAAACGGGAAGTTAGAACTGTTTATAATATTTTTATTATCTCACAATACATGTAGGTTTTTCAGGAATCTTTATCATTGTAACTATAGATTTGTGGTAACTGAAAAAAGAAACATAAGTTTGAGACTTGATATTCTCTAAATATCTGGAAAATACCGCGTCAATGGTGGTCCCAAATTTTGTTGTGGACTTTTATGGATCAAATTGAATTTTTTAAAAAGAAAAGTTGTCAACAGCTTTGATTTTTTATCAGCTCAGTTAATGTTGAAATCGCCAGCTAAGATAAGTGGAAATTTATTACCTTTGATAATCCGATTTAAATACCTGTTTTTAATTGTATTATTCAACTCAAACGTAATACTGTTCCAAAAGGTGGGGCGGCTATTTACCAAAATAATAATAATGTTACTAATATTATGACTCCGAATATTGAGTAATTTATTTTTTATTATTTACACTTTTTATTTTATTTCATATTTTTATTTGCCATTAAAAAAATTGTATCTTAAATATTATTACTTTTGAATCACCCTGATGTCTCTTCAGTTGCTTTGTTTCTCTTGAGATATGCGAAAAATATGCCTAAAATTATGCAAACATTGTGCGCATACTTTGTGATCGTGTTAGGTTTATTTCCGTTACGGAATTTCTTGATTCAGTCCCCGCGCTCAAAATCCGCGATAAAAGCTATGCAATAGCTTTAAAATTTATGAGGTTCAGAAGAATGATTCTTCTGTTAATTAATTATTTGTTCAATATATATCTGAGTTTTTCACAGACAAAACCAAGTGTTATTTTGTGTTTTTTCTTAATTCAGTACGTTATTTTATTAGCGAAGTTTTATCGTGATCCTTTAATACTTAAACTTAAAAATAATTTTAGGGTTTTGTGAAGAGTTTATCCCTTTATGGTAAATATGTAACTAGTAGTTTTCGAGTAAAGCCATTTCATTCTCATTATTTACATTTTAACATAATCATGAAACTATTATAGTCATTTGGAATTTTGAAAGCATAGCGCTCAACTTTCACTTCTTGGTTTGCGGGCTTGCAAACTCCAATTCGTGGAAGAATTGTAGCCGAATGAGCATCAAGCGCGTCGCACGTTGTGTGAATGGACCGAAAACAAGATGGCCACTGATACCGATTTCCACAAAAAAAATTTTGTTCAGCGATGAATCTCGCTTTTGATTGAATAGGCACGTTAATAAACCAAATTCTCGCATTTAGGGTGATGAAAACACAACAAACCCTTGTTGAGGCGCCGTAACATCGTGAAAAGGTCACTGTTTGGTGTGCTCTATTGTCAGCGGGAATCATTGGTATATATTTCTTCACAAATATAGCTGGCCATTTTGTTACAGTATAGAGACCTGATTAATCAAATTGTCGTGTCTAAATTGGAGAATGTTGATGTGGACGACTTTTGGCTCCAACAAGACGGCGTTACATGCCATACAGCCAACGAAGTAATCAATTTATTGAAGAAAACTTTTGCTGAGCGCATTATCTTGCGTCGCAGGCCTGTGGCGCGGCCTTAAAGATCGTTTGATTTAATACAGCTGGCCAATTTATTGTGGAGTTATGTGATGACGTTTGTCTACGTAGATAAACACGAGACCATTGATGGGGTTAACACTGAAGATATACATTTTTCTAGAACTAATCTACATTAATATTGCATAAAGTTTTCATTTACATTCCATTTTAGGTTAAAACTCTTCCTTGCTGCCTTGGCAATCAAATTTTCACCGCACGATGTAGCTGTTACCATGGGATAAACATTTCTAATCAAGGCTTTAGAATCTGAAATTTACTAATTTAGTTTTTTTTAGCGATTACCTGTTTTAACAAAAGCACAAAAATATACAGTAGTTTATACAGAAGTCTTAACTTAGGATCTGCGACGCTTTACTGCAATTATTAGATTTATCTTACGTAACATAGAATCACAAACACAAAAGCGTTAGACGTATATGTTATGACATATATATGCAGTTAAATACACTTCTAAAATTGATATATTGTAATATATGTATAATATATACACAATCGAACTCATTAAAGGCTACAATGTGGGACTTAAATGTAATAAATATTATGACGGTAAGTAGAATGAAGTGAACCACAAAGCCTTAAATACTTAAGCAAACCAAAAAAATATATAGCAAATACAATGAAACTATAATGACAGGGCGCTTTTACCACAATCCTTTTCACTCGCACTTAAGCGATATAGTTATGCTTGCCTTTACCGTTATATATTGCTTTGGCTTGTCACTTTCGGTCTTTCTCGTTCTCTCTTGACATTCTCTTCCACTTATTTTCACATGTTTGCTCAAGCATATCAAATTGCTCGACTCCACCTCAAATATGTCCATTCAAACATATCAATCATAATTTAACAAAAGGCCCAAACTTATAAGCATATGCATATACATATAAGTAACTACTAACTGCCTTATTGTCCTATTATTATGTCTAAACAAAAGCTATAGAAAAGCTAGAGTAGCTGTTGGAGGAGTGCGACAATGCCACTTGGGGCGATTACGATAACAAATGCGGATAAGCGTAGACAAAAACAACAATTTGATTGTATAGCTTTGGCACTTTGGAATATGTAAACACAAATCGGCACTTAAACATATCTATATAAATATAATTTCAACTCATATGTTTCCAGTGAACCAATAACAACTCATATTATCTGCTCTAATACGTTATTTAAATGTTAAGACTGCTTTCTTAGAAATTAATTTGTTTTGCTATTGACTTCTACTTATCTTTTGGTCTATTAAATTTACGTGTAAGCAAAGCTAGGCTCAGCCTTATTTCAGTAATGATAGCATAAAATAATAATATATAACTTAGTGCAAATAGAAGAGTTTTTCGGCCTGTATCTTATTAAAATGGTACCACATTTACAAATTCTTATTAAAATCTCATTAGAGAACTATTTTACAGGGTTTTATTATTGTCAAAAAATCATTTTCCCCGAGTTTCAATTATATATCTCACAGATTAACCAAGTAAAAAGGTTTAGTAAAAAGTCAACCATAGGCTCTGGGGTCCACATTTTCGGTATCTAACCTAAGATGGCATACCTTAAAGAAAGTATTAGTGCTCGATTTGTATACTAGAAAGAAAAAAAAACCAGATTAAATTTAAAGTTGTGTTATTTGTGAAGCAGGCGTGGTTACCGTCCGATTTCGGCCACTTTTCGTACTGCAACATGGGAACGTCAAGATAACTTTACGTACCAAATTTGGCGAAATTGGTGGAGTAAGTTCGGAGGTATGTGATTTCACCTATATGTGGGCGGTGCCACTCCCGTTGTCCAATTTTGATACCAGCACCTATAAGCCCCTCTTGCGCCTTCCTGGATGTAAAATTTAAAGCCTTTGACGTATTTATATTATTATTATTATATTGTAAACTTACAGACCACTTCGCATTCGTCATCCTGGAATTATATTTCTAGCCTGATAGTTGCTTCTAAAGAGAAGTTTCATGCGTTCTTGCATATACAGTCAATCCCAAAAATTGCCACAACCAAAGATGCAAATTTTTAGTGGTACTTAATAGCGAACGGCACTTAAAAAAATCCCGCTTAAGCCATACGGTACTTAGGTTCTAGTAATGATTGATGATATGTTGGTTTCTCACAATATAAATCGTACAAGTAATAAATTCAGAGGTTCATAGTCCAACTTAGACAATTTTAATAATTATTTCGTCTTCAAAAAAAATAACAAAAATTCAAAAACAATGACGATTTATGTCGACTCATATATTTACCTGACAAGTAACGTTTTCACTCTTGGAAACAAAAAGAAATCATACAGAGCCAAATAAAGAGAATACGGAGGATGGTGTAGCAGTGAACGATAGCGTAGATGTGAGCGAATGCCTTGGTATAGTGAAAGTGCACTTTATTTTTGCAAATGAAGCCATTTTTCCTGTACTTCAACATCGAATAAGCCCAATATATCATCATGTTATAACGTCGTGACCGTTTTGTCTTTCTCCTGGTAATTGATGTAGATCACACCTTGTGAATCCCAGATAATGCTGGTCATTCCATTTCCGGTCGATAGGACAATCTTCGACTTCTTTGGTGCAGGTTCACCAAGTGAAGTCTATAGTTTCGACTGTTCTTTGGGCAATGGTGTATATCTGAGAATCCATGTTTCGTGCAGTTGTCTCAATATTTCAGAGTTTATTCGACCCACGCAGTTTTCTGAGAGGCCGCCAGTCTGAGATATCTCGCGCTTTTAATCCGCTGTCTGACAAACCGTCATCGTGGTATTTTCTTACGTTGTTCATGTCGAAAATCATTAAACGAAGTTTAACTGTCACCATCGAAGGGAAAGAGTCTTTGTTAAAAGTATATAACCAGTGTTTGTTTTCACTACGCGAATCACAATTCACAAGTGTCACCAACCGATCTTGCTCTTTTTTCCAATCCGCGAACACGATTTCTTCTACACGCTTACAAATCAAAACTACAATTCCTAAGCGGCTGACATTTGGACAGTAGTCGTCTACGGAAATGTACTATGCGATACTCTAATGAAAGTGTAGTTGTCGGTTAGTGAAGATGAGTTCTTTTAGGTTTCGTGAAACTATAATTATATTTGGACGAAATATTGGTGATGAAATCATATCAAGGCTTTTCAATGAACCCCCTAGTTCAGGTGACTAGACTCCATTGAACAACTACTTTTAGGGGTTCTCGACTAACCAGTTGAAAACCGACTACAACAATGCTGGTAAAAGTAGTGTTAAAATGGACCCAGAGAATCGTGTTCATAATTGTAATATAATTTGAGAACTAATACTCGTAAAGTTAAAATATTGCTTATTTAATTTACAATATTTGATTTATTTAAAAGAAGACTAGCACTAACACACCGTTTACATTCCCACATACATCTCGAAGGATATAATATAGCGCCCAGCAACATGAGTTTTTAGAGCTTTGTAACTTTGTTAGTACAGATACTAAAATGCACATCCACAGTTTTTTCGATTTATTTCACATTCTTGAAAGTAGAATTCTATCATACGTTCATTATATAACAATCTTAAAATTACCTCCATCGTTTAATGGATTTTATAAAAAAGCTTTCTTTGAAGAAAACTTTCTTTGAAAAGCTCCAATATTCAGAAATCTGAGGAAATTTTACTCTTTTCATCAAAGTGTGTGGCTAGACAGCATCCATGGAAGACTATAAATTAAAGCTGCTAATTTATTTGTGTTAAATTGTCTCAATATATCAAGTTGGTAGCGCAAATGACACAATTCATGGCATAATTCCCACTAGAGTTATTAAATACGCTTTTCGTGACAAACGTTAACCACTGAGCTTTCATCAATATTGCCATAAATAAAAGCGACAACAATAAAAGCAATAACAATAAGAAAGTAAATGGAAAAAGTCTGCAACATAAATTCAGTGCCTTCTCCCAACACTACCCTTGCCATGCTACCACGGGAGATGGGGAGTAGTAACTATGGAAGTGGCTATCAAATGCCATTGAACGCTCAACTCATGCGAATATTGATACTGCGTAACATTGCTTTTACCGTTATTGTAACTGCAAGTTCAGCTGAGTAATAAATTCTTGAAAGCTACAGTTACAGTGTAAATGCGGACGAACACGCTGACTCACCAACACAACAACACAGTGGTGGTAGTGATGGTGATATAGTTGTTATTGTCGTTTTTGCGTTTGGGAAAGTGTTACTGGATTAAGCGTCATGCGTATGCATGTCTACTTGTATGTATATGTGTATATATATGAAGTACATGTTTGTGTATGCAGCCGATCTCATGTCTGTGTGTGTCTTCGCTTTTTATTGTTATTGCTTTATATTTATGGCTTTCCCGACATGCACGCACAGGCTAAGCAGTTAAACGGCTAAATAAATTTCCATACGCCCCCAACTGAGCGGCAAGCTACCGGGCTGCCGGGCTACCGAGCAGGCAACTGACAAAACAAACAACCACGGGGGCGTATGAGTAATATGCATGCGACTGCGAAGGAGTGCGCGCAGAACTATACAACATACAAACATTTGTTTACAAGGAAAACAGCGCAAAGAATTTGTGTGTGTGTGTGCGTTTGTATAAGTATGCATTGCAATGAAATGCTTTCTGATAGCGGTAAAGTTTTGCCGAGCCAATGCTGAGGCGCGAGGGGAGTGTGTGCGCTCAGCTAAAGTGCGTAAAAATTTTGATTGATCGCTTTGTTGCCGACAGTAGCGTTGGCCTGATGACCGCAAGCGCTTAGGTTGGCCGGCAACTGCTTTGCCAGACTGGCCACGTATCCGAGTGCACAGCCATTTGACTGTCTGTCTGCTTGTTGGTTGCTTTCTTGCCTTCTTGCCATTCAAAACTTCCTGCTTTCTCACTTGCATGTATATTTGTGCGTGTGTGTGTGTGTGTATTAACGTACGTGTATGTCTATTCTCCAGCTTTTGTGGCAAAATGTTATTTTGCTGATAGTGTCAACAGCTTGACAGCTGCAACAGTGTTTTGGTTTTGTTATCGCTGCCATACACTCACTGTTTGTTCATTGTGTTTTTGTTGTTGTGGCTGACAAGTATTGTTGTCATTCATTAGCTGTATGTTTGTGTGTTAGCCCTCCATCCCATACAAATACATGTTTACCATCCCCTTAAGATGATGATTTATTTCATTTTCATATCGCATCAAGTTGTTGCGTTGAAGTGCCGATGCACTTGGCGATTGTAGAAATCGGAAACCCTGTGTTCACATCTAACTGTTGGTGTATGTGCATGTGTACGTTCTTGGTGTCATCTATCAATATGAGAGTTTAATGAGAGACTTGCCTTTCTTGGTGTTCATCAATTCGAAAATAATAGCGTGTTGTTGTCTGGTTCAAGTGTATTCAGTATCAGAAATTTATAAAGACTTCCTTAAATCGCTGCTACTAATGATTTGCCCTTAATTTAGTATTGCAATTATTCTTTCTTATTAATTACAGGCTATTAATTTATTTGATTCAAACATTTCGGATTAAAAGTTAGATTTTCGCAAAAACGGAATTAAAAGTTGAAAGTTCCCAAAATCAGAATTAACTTGTTAGTATAGGGTGTAACCGAACATTTTTGCAAATTGTAAGAATCGAAGCGCGGGAAATTCTCTTAGGTGCTGGCAAGATTTAAACATATATTAAAAAATGTTGCGAAATAATTCAACATTCATTACTCGAAGAAATTGTGAATAAATCACATTCAAATTTGATATCTTTTTGACATATTTAAAAAGCTATTAACTTATACATAATTTTATAGCTATATTTTAGTTCGCTTCAGCTAAAATTTTACTAAAGGTATCTTTAAATGAGATACATGTGATATCAACTCGACCAAAGAGGCTAAATTTAATATATAATATATTGAGTTGATGTGGAAAACGTCAAACATAGCATTGGAATTCAATACATAAGGGACATGAGGTTAAGACCAAAGCATAGACCAATTCCATTCTAATTCACCACTAAACCACATAATTTTTGATTTCATTAAAATATCACATTTTGACCAACCTGAACAGTTTAAAGTCCGGTGGAAAGACGGCAATCATTATATGGAGAAAAGGAGTTCGTCTCTCGATTGCATTAATTTGGAAATTGCTTAGTTATACTTGAGAAAATATTTTCCAGCAATTGGTTACAGATATATCTCACTAACCGACATATTCGGCATAAAACTTGTTAGAAAACGAAAATCATTATATGTAGTATAGGTGAGTTAGGGGTAGTAATGCCCAGATTTTTTATATTTTTTACAATGCCATATATTGTACTATTAACATGCCACATACTAATAAAATGATATCGGGCTTTCAATAAGGTACCTCCCATACCAATCTATGGAGTAAGGTCAGCTGCATGCTCGAAAATTCTGATATTAATTATATTGGGGCTAGGTTAAAGATACACTGTTACTAGTAAAACACGCTCTCTAATTTTCATTGAGATAATACACATATTGGATATGCTTTTTCTTGCAAAATATTTGTTAAGGTTGTGCTATGATCTAACACTTATTCAATTCTTACCTCAAAATAGTTCGTTTCAATTAATAAGCGCTATTTAACTAGTTTAAAGCGTAAAGTCAGTGAGCTCAAGTCATATAATGCCGCTCTGCTTGGGGAATGAATGCTCGCCTCTTTAAAGGAGGCTGCGCTGGATCTGATTTCTCTATTAACGTCAACTCTATTTAAACATCATTAAAGTTTGAAAACTTTACTGCATGTTATAAGTCTAGGTGATAATCTCACCATTTGCTTTGTTCAATATAATTTCAGCAGAAGACTAACATCTAAAAAATCGTTCCTTTAATAGCAGACTCCTTCACATAAAAAAACTTTATCTTTTGTAATATAAATTAATTTATTCATTAAAAGGTCGGAAAATATAAATATTAACTGCAGCAATAAGCGCTAGCTTTTATTGCAGTTGGGCAGCCAGTAGGCCGATCAACAATCCTATCGAAAAATTGCCACAGAGCAATATTTACCATCAGGTGTATAATATGCTTTATTGTTAACTACTTCGATTTAATATTAGTATTCAAATATCAATTCCAAATCCCTTTTGCTGCAGTTGACTCTGATCTAAGCCATTCTCACGACAGTTGGTACTACAGTCTACGTAAGTCCAAAGACCATCAGCTCGACAGCATTTTTTAAAACTTATTTCAGCGATATTCTATGCCACTATCACACCATCAAACAACAGCGATGAACTA